ACGTAAGTTTCACTTCTCCAGTGGGGCCCAGGTTCTACCAGTCGTTCTACTTGTTTCTTGGGAAATTGTGTTTTAGTGAGGACCTATTTCAACCGAAAACCTTTTGAACATGGAAGAAGGAGGTAATTTTTATCATTACAACTAAACTTAAGTCAATTGCATTTTTTTTTTAAATTAAATTTTTAAACATTGGTATTTTTTTTAACTTGTCAAAATTTGGTTCCTTGAAATATTTATATCTACTTTTATCGTTGAACAATTAAAGCAAGAATAATTTTCTTACATTTGCTCCATTTTGATTTTCGAAGCACGAAACATGATGAGTCAGTCGTAAAATTGTAATTTTGGTAAAAATTATGTAACGAACGTAAACTATTTGACAAAGATCGATTGAAATAACTCAAACCATCGCTCTAGTTTTTGTACTCTTCTCTTTCTGTAAAAATAACTTAAAAATATAAAACGAAAGCCGAAAAGTATTCTCGAGAGTCAGTAGCTTTCATCGGAACTAGATACCCAGATTTACTTAGTTGCATACCCTTTAATTTTAAAGTCCTTGGGAGATCCTGGAATGACTATGAAACTGGAAAATAATAGTCTCTAATCGGCTTTGGCGAGAACACTTTACCGCCTTTTTTAAATTTTTAATCTATTTATTTATTTGAAATTGAAAAATCATCAACAATTTTAGTAACTGCAATTCGCACTCTTTTAGTAACTGTTATTCGCAATCAAGATCCGACATCCGTTCATGTCTTTATCTGAAAAAGTTTTTTTCGTGGACTTATAGTATAACTGGTGCATAAATATTTCACTTAAATGAATTTTTATTCTATACATCCCTAATTATGATTAAGTCTCTTGTTTTATTTTGTTAATCAGTAGACAAACACATACAATCAGTTTGACCGGTTTTACTATGCAAATACATACACCTCTAGGTACCGGCTGTATGAATGTATAAAACGCGAATCACGATGCTGGTAACAGATGAAGAGAAATGTGTCCTGTGCAATGGAACGACCAGAAGGAGCAGGACTTGGCTTCACTTCCTATTTCTAACTGGCTTGGAAGAGGAACCACTGGCGTGCTTTATTGGACCTGGCTAAAATCGTTTAAGCGATTACAGCGCTAAATTAAATAAAGAAAAAGACTGTGCACTTCCAGACCACACTGAAAATATTTTGGATACTTCACTACTTCTTTGCAGATGATTAACAACCATATTCTAACAAAGTCACAAACTTTAGCTCATCACTGCTGTAATTTCTACTGCGCCTCAAAGCTTGCCGCTGCAAAAAATATGCCGATGCAATACAAATTTTTAAATTTTTGTGTATTTTTCTAGCACTCAAAATCGAATTCTCTCGGCGCACTAGAAATCACAACAGTGATGAGCTAAGTTTTGTGACTCTGTTAGAATAGAGGGGTTACTCGTTAATCTTGTATTTGAAATCAAAATAACTGCCCGGGAAGATATTTGGAGTAGTCACATTAAGATCATTCGTTCGGCATTTTTTTCGTCGCCAATATACGTATGCATGTACTTATGTTGGCCCTGGTTTCGCGGATGATGTGATGCATTCAGTCAAAGTGTCAGATGCACTTTTTCCTACCCCAATGTTCAATCATTGCTCCAAATGTACGTCTGCAGCTCGATATCTGTGCAAAAAAATAGCTGATTACTAGTTAGTCTTACTGTCCTCACATGCCTCCTTAAATTTTATGATCCTCAGCAAGCGTTTAGTTTTTCAGATGCAGTTTATGGTAAAATAAGCGTGACTTCATCGGAATTGATTTGATTTTCACGAAGATCTTTCAGCACCTTCAGTGATCTTTTGTGAGCCATCGTTCATTTGTCCCAGATAATCAATCTACATCTCTGAAGAACCTTCGTACTGTGTTTGTGGTGTTGCAAGTTGATGTGTCGGTGATATTCATGTTCGGTGGCTATTTAAGTGCCGTTTGTGCTGTTCGTTCAACTTCTGGCAAAGTCGCTGCATTCCCATACGATGCCAATGCCTATAAACGGAATGAAAGTAAACGTTTTTTTTTTTAGAAGTTTTTAAGCATTCAGAAATTAAATGCTCATGGGTCCATGTACACCGACAACTACAACTGTTATTTTACCACGCGCTTTTTTGCAAAAGGTAACTCGACTGTAACGGGCCACCCGCCAGTAGGCGTTCATACATACATATGTACATAAGTAGTGATATACAAAGGTCGATAAGTCGCTAATAAGTCTGTGTTGTCAAGCCAAAAGTTAAGCAACCAAGACATGTTACACAAGAGGAAAAGCATGCGAATGCGTGTGCGTGTATTACTACATGGGCCACTGAATTATTGCGGCTGTCAAATATTATAATTAACACTTGCGGTAAAACTTTTGGCGTAAACGCACCTCAATTGCCAAATGAAAGGACACAAGCCACGATAATAAATGCATACATACATATGTACCTGCATACGCTTTTGCAGCGGATAGCATTTGGCGGGCTATTAGGTAGCCTGATAGGCAAATTGGCAGTTGGTGTCGATATCAACACCGCTATCATGTAGACGCATACATAAATACCTCAATTCGAGGTTGGCGTCCACAATTCATTACATTAACGTGCGTGCTCTTACACAAATGCATTTGCCTCCCTAACAGCTTTGATAGACAGACAGACAGACAGACAGTCGTTTAACAAAATATTGTTAATAGCCTTTAGGCATACAAATCGATTGGCGAACAGACAGCGGAACATATGTTAAATGGCAATTTGATACTTTTTTTGTGCTTTGCTTTTGGTTTATTGCCGCCTGTTGGCATTGCATTATAATAAATGAATGCAACAATTTACAATTACAATAATAACAAACAATAGCAATAGCTTGCAATCAAAATATTTACATATTGGCGTATTGTGTGTCGCATGGTATGCATGTATGTACATATGTATGGATTTATACATATGCATGCATGTAAGTATGCACTCTCTCCTATCGCTCGATGTGCGTAAAATTTATAGCACCCTCGAGTACATAATTCATTGGTAACAAACGGTCCTTCTTACTCTCTATCAAGTCTTCGTCCCTTCGATGCTTCGCTTGTCATGGACACCGCAATCAGTTTTCCTATTCTGTACTCATTTATTTTGTTTCTTACGGCCACTTTTATGGACTGTCCTTCAACTCCAACAAAACAGACGACAAACAATATTTCACTTTTCCCATTATAAATGCAAGTGTTTGCATACTGCAATTCATGATAGCATGTAAATATGTGCATTAGGGCGGGTTGAATTTTTTTTAATCGTATAGCAAAAACGTAAACTACATAAAAATCTAAGAAAATTCCCCGAAGAAACCATGTATCTAAACTAAAATCCTAATCCGCGCCTCTCGACTTGAAAATTTATATGGCCGCCTTTGCCAAAAAAATAAATGTTAGAAAAAATAGGTTTTTCCAAAAAGAAATCGAATTTTCTGAATAAAATTGTTTTGTAAGGTAGTTCTTTTGCACTTTGTATTTTTTCTACACTCAAATTTTTTTTTTCATTAAAAAAAATATTCACCCAAGTAAAAAATTTTCAAGTCGAGATGCGCGGATTAGGGTTTGATTTTAGACCCATGGTTTCTTCAGAGAATTTTCGTAGAATTTAATGTAGATAACGTTTTTGCTATAAGATTTTTAATTTTTTTTCATCCATACAAATCAAACCGCCCTAATGTACATATATAAGAGTGCATGTTTGTAGTGGCGATTGTTTTTGTTTGACTTTCATAATTTGTAGGCCATTGACTGTTATAGCTTTAAAGCGTCGAATGTTGCAGCTGAATAAAAACTCTCTACTTCCCAGCAAACCCTTTTGGTTTGATATCAACTTGAGACGCATTTGATATTAAATAGCCTTCTCAAATCTCCAACGTTAATTATCAACAGCATCTCAACGAGCGGATTATAGTATTCTCAACATAAAAGGCACTTTTTTTACATGAAGATTTTCTTAGTTATCAAGTTGAGAAATTGTTAATTCTCCACTTGACCCCAAATCAATTTCTCCAATTGGTATCAAATGAAAGCTTCTTTTTTATTTTATACTTTTAATACATTTTATTTTATTTTGTACTTTTGGTTACTTATTTAGATTAAAAATTATACAAAGTGCCAGCTTTTTATGATTAATTTAATTCTATGATTAATTTAATTCTTAAGGTGGTATTGTTTTTACCGTACCGTATTTAAAAAAATTTAAAAGAGAATTTAGAGTACATTTGCTTAGCAACGACTTACAAAATTAAAAGAAAATCGCATTTCAAATCGTAGTATGGTCCAATATGCACCTTCTACAAAAGGTTTTCGTAAATGATGAAAATAATTTAAATAAATAAATCCGTATTATTCCAAAAAGCAACATTAAGATATATGTGGTACACCGGACAAGTTTCAGTTAAATCCATTAAGCTATAGTTATATAAATTTAATTATAACTCATATGTGTGTATGTACGTATGCACATATTTTCACAATTCGTTTCAAAATTCATTTTTTTTCTGGGTTAATATGACATAATGGATTTATCTGAAACTTGTCAGTGGTATCACAGATATCCTAAAGTTACTTCTTGGATCTATACAGATTAAATTAAAATAAATACAATTATCGATCCAGCTTAATGCACCTTTGTGAGCATACATATACATATTTAAGTTATTTTTTATTTTCCTTTCGCTCTTTGTATGCATGCTTTTTCTGCAGACGATTATTGGCATGCTGGAAAAATGATATGACTGTCCTTTCGAACTCGCTGTTGGAAGCTGCAGTTGCAAATTTTTGATTGTACGCTTCTGAAATGATATACATATGTATATACATACAAATGTGTTTTAGTGCTGTTGTTACACTTAAAGCTCGAACGGGCGTTTTATTATTTGTTCCTTGCCAGCACAATTTTTGGGCTACTTCGTCGGTCATAATTTTCCGCCATGCTTCTTTTAAAACTTTTGATGAATTGCCACAAATTATGCTCAAAAAATCGGCAACCTAGAAAAGTCATATGCATGTTGTAATTACTTTCATGTTTAAATAGTATGCGGTTATACGCTTATTTACAAAACTTACCAAGTCATTAAATTTGTTTTCCGATTTTTCTATTTTGGCCTCAAAGTCTTTAAAATCATTTTCTTCTTTAAACGGTGTTTTCGGCATTATCGGCTTGCGTGTGCTACTCTTGGAATTGCCATTAGCTTTGACTTCTTCGAGAACGCGTTTCAGAAGCTTTTGTGTAATTTCTTGTTCTGTAAATATTAGAAATGTATATAAAATACTGGGGATATACATAAGTGCATATTGGTTGATATTAACGATTTAAGGATACATGTTTATGGACTTTTGCAAAAACAACTTATGAATCTGACTTAAGCATTTTCGCTTCCAGCCAAATAAATCGAAACAACTTCTATCTAGTTCAGAAATGCATCGAGAAAATCGCAATACGATGGATTTAGTGATAGCCCTATTATTTAGTGAAAAGTCCAACAACGTAAACACTACAATAATTTTACCTTTTAAAACATTTTCTTGAAATTTATCAATTTTTTGGTGTAACTCATCTAAATCTGAAAGATTAAAAATAATATTATTAGATATGTATATCTTTATCAAATAACAAATAAAACTCACCTTTTTTAGATATCAGCTCCTCTGCTAGTATTGCTGACGAACTAAGAAATGTGCTGTTTAAATCCATCTACATGTGAATGAAAGGTATAAATATAAATTTATTACATTCGAAATTATTAAAGACAATGATTTTCTGAGATATTTCATGTACTGAATGCTGAAATTGACAATCAGAAAACTGCAATGTGGCGCAACATTTAATATTAAAATGGGATGATTTTATAGGAATCGTAAAAAAGTCTGTTAAGTTTATAACTTCTCTGGAAATAATTTCAAAAGCACTGTCTTTTTTTGAAAGTCGTTTGAGAATAAATATTTTATTTTGGACGCTGTAAAAATTATCTGGACGTTTAAGGGATAAGTAAAAGAATTCTGTATTTATTGACTTCACTGGTCCATTTTCATCTGCTTTTTTATTTGTAATTTTTGCTGCAGAATATTGAGAGGAATATAAACTTTCCTCAAGCGGTTATATATTTGTGCAGCAATGTGATCTTTTTTATTGCATTTTCGTTTGAGTTTCGACAAAAAATTTTCGAATTTGAACGCACTTACAGACTCTAAGCATCCATGGTTCAATGCATCACTATGCAAGTGTGTAAGGCAGTGATAGTTGAATGTTAAAAAAGAATCATCATAAAAATTTGGAACTTTTTTAACAAATTCATTCAAGAGTATTTTTGCGCACGCATTGTTTTCCTTACTTTTCATTCAATAATATTCTTATGCCCAAGCTTAACATTAAGAAATGCGTATATCTTTCTACATCTAAGACTTCAGCTAAAGCGAAAATTCCTGTATATAACAGAAATGTCCTTATCTCAGTAGCCTTAAACCTTTCAATATCGCTCAGGCCACGTGGATGACGAGCAAATTCTTTTGGAACCTGATTACTTAGAAACAATAATCGAGAATTCAACAAACTTATAGTCGAGGATTTCAAAGAATAAGTTTTATTTCTCTGCCTAACCCATCCAAGAAGCAAAGATTTGGTTACACCAAGGCATACAACATGCATGTAATCATAAGGAAAAGAGTTTACAATATCGATGGGCAGTTTTTCGATAGCTGTTGACTCGATCAGTTTGTGATGATTTACGTCCAAACGGGATCGGAAACTTAAATCTGTTCTAGCGCTATGAATTTCACTATGAAAAATCATTCTATGCCCAAGGGATTCTCCTCTTTGCGTGCATTTGATACAACTAGAGAAACCAGTGTGTCCTTTAACTCCTAAAATATAGGACCTTGCTGGCGCATCGCAAATAAATGAACGACAATGAATGGAATAATGACTGCCATTGTAATCCAACCCCTTTTCTAACAGCTCCAGCAACTCGTTTACAAACCTTTGCAAATAATCATTTGGAGATAATGGTTTACTATTGCCGGAATAAGCCCCTACAACCATAACATTAGGCGTTCCATTGACATTTATTAATATTGGCCAAGTCTGCGAATTGGAACTTTTTGAAAGTGGAAGGCCGTCAATATTAACGTTAAGATGGATTTCCATCAAACTATAGGAGTTGTTTATTAAAAAATCAGTTAGTGAGTCCTCAACACCGTAGTGAATGTATTCTCCTAGTCCCATATTTTCAACAGGTGGTCTCCTAGGAGTGGATTTTAAAGTCCTTGAATCCCGTGGAAGATCACCCACGTGTTTGCACAATATTGTTAATAAACTATTGGTAGCCGCCGTTGATATATTGAATTGCACAGACCATGCCGCTAATTCAATTCTCAAATCTACAGATTTTTCGAAATCTGGAACACCATCACTTTTCGACTCACTCAATTCATCATCCGATATATTTGAAGTGGACGAGCTTGCAGTGAAAGTATCTTCTTGGCCCTGACACTCCTGACGTGTAGGAGCGGCCACTTCACGCTCTGCAAGAAGATCTACTATCTGCTTCACTTCACTTTTTAATTTCTTTCTTTGCATTGTTTCTGCCACTGAACTAAGCACTAACTTTTTTTAAGTTATTGCGCAACTCACCTTTTATTGTTTTCTTGTTGCGTTAATTTTTATTTCAGTGTTTTCACTTTTTCTACGAACATTAAAACATATGTTTCACCGCTGTTGCCAGATCAACACTTTTGCAAAGGAAACATAAGCGCTGCCAGAAAGCTGTTAAAAATTTCTCAAATATTCCTCAACTTAAGGGCAAATTGAGGAATAGGGTTTGAGAAAAGGATAATTCTCAAATGGTAAGGAATGTTGAAACTCAACTTAAGGGCAAATTGAGGAATAGGGTTAGAGAAAATGATAATTCTCAAATGGTAAGGAATGTTGAAACTCAACTTGAAAATTAAGGGTTTCTCAAACGTTGGAGAATATTTTTTCTTGTGTTTGCTGGGTTGTTAATGTTTTGAATGCTTAAGTGGTTGTTTCAAATCTAACCGGCTATAATATTAAAGCCGAAGCAGTCGATATGACCACAATGTCCCAAAGAAAATGCGTAGCGTAGTTGGCCAGAGAAATTGGATAGCCGTAGAAGCTGCCGGTGAACTAAAGAAAATCGTTGTGTAAACTGTTACTTTCAGTCTTAGTGCCGACACCTCCACTAAGTTTTTTGCAACTATTTAAGCAAATTGTAGCAACCATTGCGGATAGACAAGCATGTGGCAAGAATAGGGCTCCTATATAATGGAACTCGTCGCAGCTGTCAACAAGAATATGGCGAGGAAGGCATACAGCAGTTATTTTTTTAATTACCAAGCTTAGAGCAGGGCTTCCAGACGTCTTGGTTTTCCAGTATTTGTGCTAGTTTTAGACAAATAGTACTGGTGTTCTGGTCCACACTTAGATTTTTCTGGTCAATTTGGCAGATTTATGCTGTGAAAATGTGTTAAGACTTCAAATGCTTGTAGAAATTTATTTTTTTGCGTAAGAAAGCTCTTTTTTAACAGCCATTCAGGGAAGCCTGTGGGCCATTCGTCTTTTGCGCCAATGTGCCGCCAGAATTACAACTTAGAAGCTTTTTTGCAATTCTGTACTTTATTTTGTAGCATAGTTATGAGCATCAGACTGTGAAAAGTGGCTCGTAAAATTTTTGGGTTACTTATGTCCCATTCTTCATATCGTAAAAATGGTTAGTTGAACCTGAGACCACTATCATGAAACCATCGTAATATTATATATAGTAAATAAACAAAAGTGCGAAGAGGATAGCAACTGACGGAGCAACTTGTTTAAGCATTCTTGGTTTTGTAAATTGGTTATGAAAGACGACTGCTGACTGATGATTTCCTCCAGTAGTAGGGCCGTTTCTCAGGAAACTATTTAAATTTATCTGGCCTTTAAATACTACTTTTGTTCTAAAAAATGCGTTTGCAGGGAATATAAATTATAAAGGCACCTTGAAAAAACGGCTCTGTAAGGTCCTCTGCGTTTGTAGTTCTACGCATGCAGCCTATTAAAACTAGTCAAAAAAATATTACGATATATGGAGGTACGTTGACCTATGTACTCACTATTATAAACAATATTAAATTTTCTGTAAGTTTTCATATTCATGGTCCTCTGCAATAACGGCACAACTCAAGATTCCATGTTTTTGAGTTATACAGCGGATTAGGTTTATAAATAACCATATTCGTCTGTAGCAAATCGACATAGGCTTAGTTGTTACCAATTCGGCAGAAGCATAGTTTTGCCATTTCTCACAAAATCGTAGTAGCCAATTTTTGCTACTGAACAGTGGCACATGTCTCACAGTTATCGTGAATATTGGCATAAGTCAAAAACTCTCGATATGTTAGTCATGCTTTTATGTGAAATAACGACACTTTTCGTATTGTGCCGTTGTTTAGCAACACAAATGTAATTTTTTTCGTTTAACTACTTACGAGTTCTTACTAAAAAAAAAAATGCAAAAAAAAAAAAAAATGCAGGTTAAAAGGCTTACTATAAGTTGGTTATTTTAATCAATTGATATTTTTCCTGCAGGGATACTATAGATATGTACATTAGGGTGGTCCAAAAATTCATGTAAATAAGTAAAGTCGATATTTTTATGCTCTCACCCCCTAGCATTGTTCTAAATCGAAAAAACAATTATTTTTATGAAAAAATATTTAGAAGCCGCTCAAAGCGTGCAAAACTGTCCATGTATTTTATACGGGGAAAAAAACAACTTTTCATAGATACGATATAGAATTCCTAAAAAACAATATTTTTCGATCGGAAAACTATGTTCCTCTGCAGAAAATTTCCAATAATAATACCAAATTGTTTATTTAACCATTTCTTTTTAGTAACTATAATTTATAGGTTCGCTAAAAAATCCCCCAAAAACCCCGAAAATACAATGGGGGGACCAATAAAAAATCGTTAGTGTTAAAAAATGGTTAAACAAACAATTGGGTATTTATTATTGAAAGCCTCCTGAAGAGAACCAGAGTTTTCCGATTGAAAAATATTGATTTTCAAGAATTTTATACTATTACCATGAAAGGTTGTTTTTTCTCCTCACATAAAATATATGAAAAACTTTGAGCGCTTTGTATTACAAAGTTTGTAAATATTTTTTGATTTCAAAATAAAAAAATGGGGGTGTACTTTTTTCATTATATTAAGAACAATCCTAAGGGGTGAGAGTAATTAAATTCCGACTTTACTTGTTTTGGACCACCCTAATATACATACATATGTATATGTCTACATAGAGCTGCTGGTGCACTGCAGCTTATGTGTTTGGAATAATAATTTGTTGGCCGGCGGCAGTCGAAGAGATATCTTTTGACTACGGTGTAGAGGAAGTCATTGCACAGCTTTGTCGCCATTCGAATGTGGTCATAACTAAAAATTAGCTCTGCACTGCGGTAAAATAAACGCGACAGGCCGATGAGTATCAAAGAATTTAAATTCAAGTAACTAAAAAAAAATTGCTTGAAATCCAGTATTTTTGCCCTTTCTGTGAAATTTTTTTAGGAGGACTTCATGATTAAGGAACCTATTAATGTGAAAACATATTTAAAATAAAGTGAGGTGGTCCCGATATTGTTGGCTATGCAGACTTTCAAACAATTATAATTAGGGAAGAACTGCCTCAGATGAGTGTTGTCTAACTGGTGTCCCGCGGAGGTTCGCAGCATAAAACCTCTCAAAGCTGTCAGAAAAGATGCGATGCTAACTTTGGTTCATCATCTTTAGATAAACATGCTTTCAATTTCTAATGAGTTCAAATAACTATGAACAACGCTTAATGCAAAAAAAAACAAAATGGAATTCACATCTTAATAAGACCACAATTGAAGCTTAATGTTCCGCTTAAGCCCGTAGAAGCTTTTCTCACAGTAAATATATAGTATACATAGATCGTCTTTGCTGCATCCAAGGCCGTATATTTGTTTCTTTAGGGATGTGCCGGATATAGATTTTGCCGAATAACCGGATTCCGGATATCCTGTAAAAAATAACAGCCGGATTCGGATATCCGATCAGATATCCGGTAGACTGCTGCCCTTAATAAATTTCACAATATTGTTTTTTTGCCGGCTCGAGTTCACCTCGACCTCCGCACCGTTTCTGATGCTACAGAATTTACCACTTCGAAAACACAATTACGCACACATCTGTGCGATGCTATCGCTGTGAAAAATGGCACCTTATAAACAAACAAAAAACAATCTTCATCAAATTCTTTGCTTTTGAACAATCAAGATGTTGTGTTTTCTCACGTTAATTTTTGTTTAAATTATACAGAACCCGCCTATAAACCTTTTTCGTTTCCGAACGCGTAGGTCTGCAATTTCGGCACGACAAAATGAAGAGCTGTAAATGTTCCAATAAATAGTCGCGGCATTGTTGTAATTTTTTCGGAACACATTCGCACCGTTTCAAAACTCGTCTTTTTGCTGACGCCAATAAGGCTAAAAACTGGGTTGTTGATGAACTAATTCGAAATTATAAATCTGTTAGCATGGAGAAACCAGTTGAATCATATGAAAAATGCCGAATTATAGTGAAAACTTCCATCAAAGATCGAGCTAACGAAGATATTTGGCAATGCTTTAAGGAAATCGCCAACGGCTCTGATGCTGATTCTAGTGTTTCTAGTGATATGGATAGCCAAATGATTGGTAGACAAGGCAGCGAACGTACAAGATAAAAGGCAGCGATTTATGAACTAGAAATAGAGAAATATTTGCAGCTACCTCTTATATCCAGACAAGAAGATCCCTTAACTTGGTGGAAGTATAGCCGCAAAGAATTTCCAAATTTGTTTACACTGGCAATGAAGTATCTCTGCGCGCCACCTTCCTCAGTGAACTCGGAAAGAGTATTTAGTGCATCGGGTAACATTTATGTTGAAAATAAAAATAGGTTGTTGCCCGATAATGCGGAAATGCTTCTTTTCATAATGAACAAGTAAGAAAGTCTAAGTTCGGGCGGAGCCGAACATTAAATACCCGGCGCAAGTATTAAATATATGTTTTCCACCTTTCCGAAAGCTACCGCTACATGATAAGCCGGGGTGTATACATTTTAAGTAAATTAGCGTCCTTAAATTTCGAAATATTGAAGTTTCAAGCATATCTGAAATTTACCGTTATATGAAAATTTTGAAACAGAATTTGATTCCAAGGGATTTTATAAATAACATCAAGAGATGAATGAAGAGATCATTACACTGGTGGTAAATTTTAAAGTTTTTAAATATCACAGCTAAACGACTAAACACGTAAACTTAACTTAGGCCTCTAGATTACGATGCCGTTTTCAGAAAATCCGTATCACGTCAAAATTTTGAGATGTTTAGGAGGGACATTTTAGAGCTCTGAAAGTGAAATTTTCGGCGTTTATAACACTTTTCTGAGGCTTTGAACTTTTTTGTGTGCAAACGCTTTGATAGCTGACTTTACTTAACT